GGGGGTTAGGGAGAATAGGTTTGGTTGTGTAGGTATCGTCCCCGGGCATGCGCAGCAAGCCTCTGTCACGCAGGAGGGAGCTTGGCTCACTGCAAGCCAGAACCTCCTTCTCTTGAAACTGGAGGAGCCCGAAACTTTCGGAACAGGCTACACGCCGGGATCTTGGGAATGGCAGCCCAAGCAGACTACAAACCCAGAGTTATGAACCTAGCCATGAGGGTGGATAGGTTTCAGGGGGAGTGAAGAGCTACCACCAAAGAAAGACACGGGAGCAGTAGCGGGAAACATACCTTCCTGACCCTTCACACTGAAGTTCAAGCGAAAGACGAAGGATTAGAAGCCCCAGGGAAAAAAAGCAAACCACAAGCCCAAGTCAAAAAACCTTCTCAGCCCTCAAACCCCGATCAGGCCGTTGATGTGTAAGTTTCTTGGTTATAATTACACAGGCACACATGGACACACCGACTAGTAACAGTAAGTGTTACCATGATTTATTTCACCGCTGTTTTCCCGACTACGACGAGCACTGTCATCATGCGCATTGACATCACAACTATCACTTGCAGTACGGTTGCTGCTCCTAATACTGCTGTTGCTGATGGCTTGGGCAGTCTACATATAATCTGTATGTATACATGTTCATTCTAAACAAGCTTGCGAGCAAGTATGTATGAATGTATGTATGCATGCATGGATGTATGTATGTATGTATGCAAGCATGCACACACATAGACGTTCTGAATCCGATGCTGCCACAGAATTTTCTGTTCCGATCTGCTCAGAGCTCCGATCCTGGGCTCTTCACGCCGTTCGCCAGCCGCCAATTCGTGATCTGTTCTCGGCTGCTCTCCTCGGCTCCGGTGTTTCTTTTCACTGGTGTTTCTAAGTTGGTTGCTTTTAGGGATTAAGAAAGGGGGCTTTCGGGCGCATGTTTGGGGGCTGCTGGCGTCTAAGGCCTCGACGGTTCGGCAGCAGCTGGAAAGAGGTGAGCTCTGGGGTTCCACTCACTCAGGCGGACTCGTTCGGCTTTTCTACAGCTTTTCACCATCCGGGCGGTGCTAGTGAGTCTGTGCTGGTCAAGCGGAGGGTCTGTACTGAGATGTAATGGACTGTCTCTAGAAATCTCAGAGGATTCAATGAAGCCCACGGAAGTTTCTGAGGCTCGATACCTCGTTACCATCGGAGGCTTTGACGGATCCCAATTGTACAATGCTCCTGCCGGTTTGTCCAAGGAGCCATGCCGAGTCGACAAAAATCCTGAACAGCTCCCTGCAAGGAATGCACAAATCGTTAGTACTGCAATTAGCTGGCACTGGTTAACCAACCCATCGAAATACCATAGATGCAAGCACTAGTGGTCCCACGATGAAGTATGCAAGACTGTAACCCTTCCGCACGGCACGTTTTCCCAGCACGCGGTAACGGTGGAAGTATGTGGAAGTCATTCTGAGCAGCGGACAAAAGCACTCCCGACTTGTGGTCCTCTTGAGAGAAAATGTTTGAGACACCGAGAAACCATGTGTTCACGGCTGACGAGAGCCAGGAATGGCACACCAGAGCGACGCTAGTGACGCGTCACATGTTGGTAAAACACTGATGCCCCTGCACCTTCTAGCCCCGGGATGTTTTGAAAACACAAATCAATGCCCAGTTGCGCTTCTCTTTGGCTGCACCGCGTCCTGCAACTGCACGGCGCTTTGTTCGGGACTCAACAAGCTCTATGAACAACTAAACTTGGTTGCGCTACGGAAGCAAAACTAGAGACCCACAAACCTTCAATCCATGATTCGGATAAGTCCTCTGGCATCATGGGTATGCGGAAGGCATGGAGGTGACGGAAGGTTTTTGCATTCGCTCTCCTTGGCACACGAAAGAACTCAACAACTTTTCATACCAGTTGGACTATATGAAACCCTAAACCAGGCCCTAAACCCCAAAGATGTGAACTGGGACGCGTGTATGGCCTAGGTTCACGATGTTCAGGATTCTATCTGGAATGTGGCATTACGGCCTGAGTGCTCAGACTTCGGATTCGACTTGTATGGTACAGAATTTGCAAGATTGACTAATTAAGACTGACGGGTAAGAAGGATGCCGTCGAACCCGAACCTCCATGCGACTGGGAAAGCATTTGAACATCCTGAATCAGGGTCTAAAGCGACTGAACCAAAGAAGAGGCAAAGCTGCTGACAGCGGCGGAAGGAGCAAATTACCACCTTCCGCGAACAAATTAGACTGGACACTGATTACGTACTGTGCTGCCGGCAACGGGAGCTGCGCCCTACACCTGAACACTAAGACCATGAAAGCAAGTCCAAGTGATTTCGGCCCCTCCACCCAGAGCTTCCCTGTCCAAGCAAGACAGGTCTGTGCATTACCAGTGCCGGCCAAAGAAAGCTTCATGGCGTAGCTTTCATATAAAGCTGATTCACACTAAAGCTTGCCGCCAAATGGCAGCCTGTAGGTGCTTCGCATCTTGCTCCGTGGGGAGATGATGTTGGCCTGTCCGGTGCTAAGCGTTTCTCTGTTGATGACTGATGACCTTCGACTACATGTACCAAGCCCTCTGAATCATCTGCCACGGATAAAATCTGATAGCCTAACTAATGCAAGCCCCACAGGCTGGGAGTCCATTCTGGCTCCAACCTGAAACTTGAAGCCAACAGCACGATTTACAAAGACAAGCATGAGGCCGTGGCGGGGCTCAAGAGGCTTTCGAATTTGTTTGGCTAGACTTCATCAAGTTCTTCATGACATCCTTGACCCAGCGTCCCGAAACGGGGCATGAGGAAGACACCGAATGTCCTGACATGTGTACGGAAATCATCTAACAAACCTATTGAAATATCCATGGCTTAGGAGAGTGAAGACGCAGAAGCACTTCTGGGTTTAGGCATCAGGGCCAAGAATAAATGCAGGGTCCTCGGCTTAGAACATACACTTTAGGGTAGAGGGTCAAGTAACCAGAGCCAATTCCGCGGACAACTCCGAGCCAATGCCTCAAGCGCTTGCGTGCTTAGGGTTTAGGGAGTCGTGCTTCGCTCCCTGGCTGCAGCCCACAGCCGAAATGCAAGAAGCGTCCCGTGGCGGCCTTTAGCACGACAACAACACAGAAGCAGGCCTGCTCAAGGGCACTCTTTATATGCGACATGGCATCACCTGAGGCACAGGAGCTGGCACCAGGACGAAACACAGCCTATCGAGTGGGGCATGTACTTTCCACTTAGATCCTGGGGTTGCATCGACGGCCGAATCACTGCCGAATCCATTGCCGAGAATGTGTCGAAACAAAAACCCTCAACCTGCCAGCAGGCGCCCAAACGAAATAGGACACCAGCACAAACAGAACAACAACGACAAATATGATAATGCTGCGTACATACGTATGTATGTATGTCTGTCTGGATGTGTGTGGGTGTGTATGCGTGCGTGCGTGCTCACCATTGCAATACATTCTATTTCATCCAATGCCGTGAACGCATCACAGGAGTGCACATAATGCTGCTATCATGCATGCGGTATTACGCCGAGCACCAGTACCACCAACATGCAGGAAGGCAGGCATACATGTGCATACTCACCCACCGCGCCACTGCCCGCCCGCCTGCCCGCAATCCCAATCTCAGTCTCAGCTTGAGCTCAGCTCGGTCTCATTCGGTCACACAAGCGCGTTATTGGCAAACATGCACAACATGTGCGAAATGCATGCATGCATGCATACTTGCATGTCTATGTACATGTATATGCGTAGTCATATAGACATACCTACCCATGTACATACATGTACATGCATATCCAACCAGGTCCATCGATGCGAACATGCCCAGATGCACACATGCATGGATGCGTACACACACACATGCATCTGCATGGCTCAAGGTATGTACAGGTATGTAAAGCACTTGCGATACATGGATGTGTCTGTGTCTGTGTGCTCGGGCATGTAGACAAACGCAGATGTCGCTAACTGCCCGGAGGCCGCATGCCTACTAAAGTCTGGTCAAAATGCCCAGCTGTCGCATCTCAGCATGCATTGCCAGCTGATCCTTGGTAGCAGTGGCATTAGCCATGGAAGTAGTAGTAATAGAAGCAGTAGCAGAGCAGCAATAGTAGCAGTAGCAGCAGCAGCAGCAGCAGCAGCAGGAGTAGTAGTAGTAGTAGTAGTAGTAGCAGCAGTAGTAGTAGTAGTAGTAGTGGTATTAGTGGTAATAGGAGTGGTAGGAGTGGTAGTGGTGGTAGTAGTAGNNAGTAGCAGCATTTCAGCCTTGCGAGACTGATGCTCCTGAACGGAGTGGGTCAGCACTTGCACATCGAGCTATGGAAAGCCACAACGGCAAAGCAGGCACCGAACCTGGACCACCGAACCCCAAACCTTGATGCCGAAGCCTCAACCAGAAGGGTTCGTTGTTGTCTGTGGATCTGTGGAGGCCCTATATAAGAGTTTCGCCTCTCGAAGACAAGACTTCAGCAACTCGAGGCCTAGGACCAGCACGAAGAAAACAAGCAGCAAACAACGAACAATAAGAGTCGAACAGCGAGACACGAAAAACAACAACATCAACAACAACAA